TAATATGTGTAATCCGACAGATTATGTTACTAACCACATTTTCCATTAAGTAATTTGTAATAAGTAATGGATTACAATTTGTAAGTAATCTACCAATAGAATTACTATCATATTTTTGACGTTCTTACAGAGGTAGCTTGCCAAAACCATACATTTACATCGGATTCTCTTCAAACAGTTGCTCTGCCATAGTTGACCTTAAAGAGAAAACTGAAAACTTAGACTTCTTACAAATGTAATTGTTGTATTTGTTGGTTTTGAAAATCATTTATACCATTTTTCAAAAAAAAATCCTTATACCTTGAATTTTTTTTTTTTTTTTTTTTTTTTTTTGGCAGGTGACAGTATCTTCGATGAACAGTATAAAGCCGATATATATGATATCTATTTATAGATATTAAATAACACAACCAAATTTATATACATTTATAAATAACGCAGTTACATTTGTTTGTGGTATTTTGTGTTAAAAACATGAATAAAAAATAAAATATTTAATAGGCATTCTAAGACATGCTTAAAAGACATAAATGCATTTTTTGAATGCTGTCAGTACATAAAAAAAGCGAATAATTATAGCGTTTTGCCTTTTTATTAGGCAGAACTGTTAAACAAAGACAGTAAACTAATGAAGATGGAGAATGTGTGCTGGGTTCTCAGCGCTGTCAAAATAAAAGTCCCGCTTTTTTATTAAGTTACTTACCAGGCAAAAAGAAAAAAAAAAAAGATTGACCAAAGTCGATAATTAAAAATGGCAAATATTTGCAGATATATCAGCTATGGTGATGTATGGTTTGATCACTACTTGTGAATATACGCGCATTAGGTTGCATTGTAGGCATCATGCAGTTTGTAAAAGCCCTATTGAAATGCTACTTTTGTCCACAGATGGTGGAGGGGCTTCTCAACTTCTGTTTCTACACATTTGTGAATAAATCTCTGAGTGTGGAGTTTCCTGAGATGCTGGCGGAGATCATCAGCCATCAGCTACCAAAATTTAAAGACGGGAGTGTTAAGCCTCTTCTGTTCCATCAGAAATGACTGCCTTAAGATCATAGCAATGCCTTAACGCCACCTTTTTCTTACCAGCGCTAGTCCAGCCTGCCCGTTTCCCCTCAAACATCCTGAATGAACTGAGGGATACAGTCGCTTTTGCTTGATTCTCAGAGGAAAGAGGTGAAGTGCGCTCTTCAGAAATGTTCATGGAGCAGGAAAAATGACAAAGTCGTGTACTTGGAACAGACGGAATATGACTTTGAGAAGTTAGGTTTTTAGTGATATTTTCTCTTTTTTTGCATGTACACTGCTTAAAAGTTTACAAAGGTATATCAAAAAAGGGAAATGTGCCTTTTTTGCGCTTTGCGAATCAATTTCGAACATTTCTCAGGCTAACGCAATGACTTGGCATATAAAATGTATGTCGATGATTCACATTCATCACGTCTGTCTCTGCCCGTGTCTAAACCTGCCGCGGTGGTTCTCTGGAGGTGGCAGCTCAACGCTCCCCAGAGGTGCTCGAAATTTTGAAGCAGCCCATGAAACATAAGCCCATATTATGCTGTTTTTTAAGTCTCATCGAATCTCCAAATCGTAAAACAATTTTGCCTGGAGCACCATGAAAATGCCACAAGATAATTCAATTCAAATCAATATCTGTTCCATGACTGACATTAAATACGGAGTTGTTTCTTTGTTTTTTTTTAATAGGTTCCACTGAAATGTAATTTGTAGGGATAGGTCACCCCAAAAAAATCTTTCCCCAAATTCTTCCAATGTTTAATCCACCCTCATGTTGTTCCAAACCCATGCCTTTCTTTACTCTGTGGAACACAAAATGAGAAATTCTGAATAATTTCCTGGTTGCTATTTTCCAATTAGTTGCAATGAATGGTGGCTGAAAAATGAAAGAAAGACAACATGGAAGTCTTGTAAAAGTGGCTCATCTATGACTCATTCTCCGTTTTCCAAGTCTTATGAATTCAGACAATAGCATGGTGTGATGAGCAAACCTAAATCAAAGTCATTATTCACTGAAAATTCCCCCTTAGTGAGCTGTTGAGAACCAGATCAGTCTGGTTCATTTAGAACCAGACATGTTTTGACTCAAAACATACATTTATAAATCAGACATTTTTGTCAGTCCTCATTGTTTATCACTACTTTGGAAAAAAAGACCAGGATATATATATATATATATATATATATATATGAAGTAATTTATTTGTGAACAACTTGAGGCTGAGAATTTTTATTTTTTTGAAGGGTGAACTATTGTTTAGTGTGGAAGCCCGTTTCCGCCACTGAATAAAAAATAAAAGAGGTAATTGCGACTTTTTATCTCACGATTCTGACTTTTTTTTCCGCAATTGCGAGTTAAAAAGTCATAATTGCGAGTTATAAAGTCAGAATTGTGAGATATAAGCTCGCAATTCTGAGAACATATCAGTCTTTTTTTCCCCCTCAAAATTGGACTTTAACTCGCAATTGCGAGTTTATATCACGCAATTCTGACTTTATAACTCGCAATTGCGAGTTTATATCTCACAAATTCTGAGAAAAAAAGTCAGAATTCCGAGATATAAACTCGCAATTGTGAGAAAAAAAGTCAGAATTGCGAGTTTTTTATCTTGCAATTCTGACTTTATATCTCGCAATTCTGACTTTATATCTCGCAATTCTGAGAAAAAAAGAATTGTGAGAAGTCGCAATTACCTTTTTTTTTAAATTCAGTAGCGGAAACGGGCTTCCATAGTTTAGAGAGCTTGTGTGAGAGAGAACTGTTGTTAAAGAGGGTTTTTTAAATGTTGATTATTAGCTCAGGTTCACATAAAATAAATGACCATTTTTAGTTGCAAGCATTTGGATATAAAGAGAGAGGTGATGGTAAGTCATGAAATCGGTGAATGAGTTCAGGTTTAATTAGTCAGATTTCCATCCATTCTGGTCATATTCAGAGTAGCATATCCCAGCATTCCCCTCCTCTGTCGACTGCTGTGTGTTCTTGTCATTCGGTGAAAGTTTGTGCTTCCGCCGACATCTCAGACTTCATTCTTTTGATCTTGAAAGCCGTTTTTAATTTAAATGTTTTTGGAATGCTCTCTGCATATTCTAAATCTGGTAACCCATATGAGGCCCACAAGTTTTGACCCACTTTTCTTGTCTTTGTCTTTGATGTATCCCTGTGGTTCTACGTTTTTTTTTTTTTTTTTTTTTTTTTTGTGTGGTAACATCAGAACAAAAGGAACATTTGTTGCATGGGTTTGCTCATCATTACGTGTCAACTGACATTCATGTCTGCGCTTCAGGGTTTTTGCACCAGCTACGCTTGATTACCAGTGTAAAGGAATAATTCATCCAAAAATGAAAATTGTTTCTATCATGTTGTTCCAAACCTATATGTAGTGATTTTTCTGTCACTATGAACTATGTTGTATGGAAAAGTGCTGTGTGAAGATTCTTCACAATGTCGTCTTTTGTGTTCCACGAGATAAAAAAACAACAAAAACAAACAAACATGGGTTTGGAACACAGGTGAGTAAATAATGACAGAATTTTCATTTCAATAATATTCCTTCTAATTTTTTTTTTTTTTGCTTGAGTATTTTTTAAGAGACTATTTTTTTTACAAACTCCTCGCTAGGTTTGTGAGATGTCGCATTTTCTATTCGTTTCACAGTAAGCCTTGCAAAGGGAGTTTGTGAGCCACTAAACATAGGTTGTATAAATTCAGAAGTATACTGACATGTCTAGAAAATATTGTTTGTTTAATCATTGATCATTTTGAAATGAAACTAAAACTAAAATATAATTACGCAGATTCTCTTTGATATACACCATTTTACAACAAAACAATTTTAATACATAAAGTTGAATTGCTATCTTTTTTGTGAAGAACTGTATTACAGATGCACTTTTGAGAAAAGTGTTTATGTTGTATGTAAATGTCAATTCTATAAATCTATAGGGGATATATGAGTAATCACTGTTTTAAAGAATGACAGCTTAACGTCGGAGATGCAAGTATATTTTGTATAGTGCAACAGAGTGACCAAAGCAATGCAGATTTAAAAAAAATAATAATAATACAATTTAAAAAAAATTATAATAACTATTTAAAGCATTTACATTTTACAGTAGCACTTACTACCCAACTGTAGGCTCTTTTTACTTTATTTTATCCTTTTCTATTTCTTTTTATAAAGATTTAGGCTTTGGTCTCATGTATAATGCTGTAAAATTAACTAGTAAAAATATAAATAAAGCTGTGTGTATAAGTAATGTATCAGCCTGAGAATTTGCACTACCCTAATACTGGCCTGACGTAGTATATTTTGTACAAAAATTAATGCAGATACTATCTTTAAAGATTAAGGGCAAATTATATTTCACTGGTATATGGCTTTCATTAAAGTCGTTTTGGTTTTTTGTTTGCATTTCAGTTATATGTAAAATAATCCAATGTAAAGAATATACAATGTCTGTTTGTTTGAAAAAAAAAAAAAAAAAGTTTTGTATGACTTCTGTATTACACCTCTCCTGTAGTCAATGTCGATCTTTGCACATATTTGATTAAATGTTGGACAGAATTTGTTCAGAGGGAGGGTGATATCATTGTGCTAATTTGCTATTTTTCCCATTGTATCTGAATGTTGACACAAATCTACATTTGGACAGGTTTATTTTCTTCTCAGCCCTATTACTGGTCTGTACAGTTCAGAATGCCATTATTTTTACAATAAAAAAAGACAGATTTATAGAATAGTTCATCTGTACCAAACATACACCGATTAAACCAAGTCCAAAAAAACTTCAAAGCAGTTTGGTTATTGAAATTTTTTTTTTATTATTTATTTGATCCTAAAGAATATTAAGGCTCAGAAAACTGAACATCATAAAAAAAAAAATGTTAAAATATCAATTGGGCTATCAAAAAATTAAGTTGGTGTGCTACAATAAAAAAAATATATAATTCATATTTACAAAAAAATTATACCTTATCAATTGTCACTTATTTACAATGTTAACACACTCCAAAAGAACACAAATCTCATCAGAGATAATGCTTAAATAAGAGTGGTTTACATAACGATGTTAATTCACATTAAGAAATAATTTACACTTTTCCACTTACATGCTAAGAAAGGAGAAGAAAAAAATTCTGAATATTTTTTTTAAATGCTTCCTGATATACAAAAGAGTGCAAGCGTTTTCTTTCCCGAAATTAACAGTCATCTCTTAGTAGTTCTAAACAAAACAGATACGAGGACCTGGAGGACACAAAAGACATTCAAAAAGCCCCAGACTGCATAGAAACGGCATACATTTGACATCATGGTGAACTGGGAAGTGCTCACATATAAAAGCATTATTTATATTAAAAAAAAAAAGCTGTAATAGTAATACAAATAAATTCATAATGAGCCCCTAAATACACAATTTCTTGATTGTGGCCGAGATCGCAGCAGCAGCAACTTGGTCCCGGGGTTTATTTATTTTTTTTCCCTTTTACCTTGTGTTGAACTTTGTCTTAAACAGCGGCAATGCATTGTGGGATGCGTGGAACAATGACGAGGTAGGGGATGGCCCAAAAAAAAAAAACGTACTATCGCACAGGCATACTAACTCGGCTTTTCTGTCGAAGTTCAGTTGTTTCAAAAGCGGGCTCTGTGTCACCGCTTTCATTGACTTCCAGCTACACAAACTCCACGTAGTTCTCCGGAATTAACCCCTTCTTCCCATCCAAAGTGCCCTCCAGCCAGCCTGGCTCTCTTGAGGGATGAACTATGAGACAAAGATGCAAACGAAGATCATTTTGGATGCCACTGACAACTTTATTCCCGATTTATCCTCTATTTTCACAGTGTGAAAGGAATAAGGACTGTTCCAGATTCAATTAGCAGCATCACACAATCAGGGGCGTGTCTACCCCAGGTGCCCCCCCTACCAGATGTCTTGCGATAGGCTCGTGTGAGGACGAATCTCTCCACATTAAACAGTGCCAAAACAGCATTTATTGTTTGAATTTTGAATAAAATGGACAGAATCTGAAATCGGAGACTTTGTTTCATATCAAAAGTAAGGAAGCTTATTGCGATTTATTGGATGGGCGGCACGCTTCCGTTCAGTTCATTAACTGAAAACAGGCTAATCGATTCTTGGTATTTAAGAATTGATATTTTGTAAAAATTAGAATCGATTAAAATCGATATATATATTTTTTTAACCCAGCCCTACTATTTACTCCTGCAGTAGAGCCTCTGTGAACACGCCTGAGGCTTCATTAAACAATAATCTGATCTACTGCTAAGCGGTGTCAAGTGTCAAACTGCGGCAGCTTGGAGCTCTGATAACCTGTTAAAGGGCAAAAGGTGGAACAAAGCAGAGATATCAGTTTGCTGCTCTTATGCCGACTCTCAAGACTCAAACCTGCTTAACTAACCAGATATACCCAGTACACTGAGGGCTAAAAATGGAGACCCCGCTGTTGGGGACTTACCATTCTCGAATATGGTGCCTGCGATAAAGGACAGCTCAGAGTCATGTTCAGCCTTGCAGGCGTATCGTGCACGTGCCTGTCGTGGCGGAGGACTGGAGAAGATACAAATATATATTAATCTCATAAATCTTTGAATGAAGTTCATGATTTGCAGATGAATTAATTTATTTGCAATCAATTTCTGATCAGAAAAATACCCACATGAAGATAACTCAAAGACATTGACTTAAAAAAAAATAAAAATCAATCAATCACATCATCTTTTTCATAAAACACCTGACATCAGACATTAAAAAAATGTATGAGTTCAAATGTTCAGTGCTCTGACATCAGTAAATAAAACATCTCAAAAATGCCATTATATCACCATGGCTTGTTGAAAATGATGCCATGGTAATTTTATGCATGTATGTATGTGTATGTGTATTTATTTATTTAATGTTGGTCTTTGAAATACCTTGTGTTACCATGTAAATACTATGGTGCATGAATGTGTTAATCATTCTGTACCATATTATATAATAGGGATGCTCCCATATAAAAATACTGGCTAATATTATTTTCTAATTCTGTTTTGTCCGGGCAAAAATAAATAAATAAATACAATAAAAATGAATAAATAAATACATAAAATAAAGTAAAATCATACAATAAAATAAAGCACTAAATAAAACAACCATTTTAAATGTTAGTGAATTTTAAATGCAAAGTGAATTATGAAACACAAATTTATCATGTACAGTGTGAAAAAAATGGGTATTGTTAATGGATGGATATTATTGCATTATTAAATTATTAGTGTTTTTAAAGATTAAATGCGTGCACTAGATGACAGAAAAAAGTAATCGAAATGTAAAAATAGTGGCTATAAGCATTCTTAATTAAATATACAATAACAACTGATATATATATTAAAAAAAAAAAACTAATATCAGCCTCTAATGTCAATGACTGTTATGGTACAGATAATTTGTGCATTCATAGTATAAATAGTGCATTTTAATAAATAAAAAATTACCAGAAAGTTCTCCATTTAGATACCATAGAACATTAATATTCAAATCATAGTAGCATAGTATCAAGTACCATAGTAAGTATTAAGAAAAAAAAATATCGATGGCACTTCATTTTACAGTCCTGTTCCACATGTGCATACTGTGTACTTATTATAGTAATTATATGACTGGGTGATAACTAGGTACTAATCCTGAACCTCCGCCTGAACCTAACCTTAACCCACGCAGCTACCTTATTACCCAGTGCTTTCTTAGGTAAGTACACTGTATGTACACTTACTATAAAATAAAGTGCAACCAAAATATGATTGGTGTACATTCACTTATACTGATCATTAAACATCTTCATGAAAGACATCATCATACATACAGTATATGCAACAACAGAAATGACACAGTATATTATTACCCACAATGCATCAAACATGTCTCCAGTGATGACATTAGTTGATGTATATGCTCAGATGTGAAGAGGGAAGGCGTGAATGTGCGAAGCGGAAGATTAACACCGAACGATTAGAATACTGCACTGCTATAGATAGCTGCCTAAGCAGGCCAGAGCAGGACACACACCTGACGGGGGAGGATTCGCTGGAGGCCAGCTGGGGGCTGGAGGGGGCAGAGAACATCGGCCATGAGGGGGAGCGCGGTGAGGTGGGACTGGGTGAAGCCGGGCTGCGACAAACACACACACGCAGGCACGCACTATGTGATCCCAACACCAACATTTATGTTACGGCAGCTGCTGAG